GAATTAGCAAAATGCACTCACACTGGTCTCATATAAATTTGATCAAGATCTGACCAGTAGTTTTTGAGTTATCCTTAATAATGCGTACTTATTTAATTGACTTCGATTACATTGATGATGTCCGCATTTTATTTATATTGAAGTCGGTTGTACAATTTTTAATTTTACCATTTGCTTCATAAAACCGAACTGACGATCGAGATTACAGTCTACCTGATGGTAAGTGGCCGCTGCAGTCCGTGGACAACCGCTGCTAACTTTGAACAAGAAGGCTGCAAATACTTTGTCACCTCTGAGGACTAAGATGGAATGCCTCACAGCGTAAAATTATACTGGCTCCCTTTATCCTTTACACCGGAATCTAGCATGCACACACTTCTTGGCAGAAATAGAGTGGTACCTACCCAGATGGACTAGATAGAAAATTAGTTCTACAATTTAGTAAACGTTTGTCTAAAACAACACACATTCTAAGAAAATAAATAAATAACACGGGACTTTCGCCGTTTCCCGGGTTGAATACGTTGCTCGGTGTAAGAAGACTTCTATTTGACTATTTTTTAAAAAACTTAAATTGGACAAACATCCAGACCCGAACAATTATGTGCAGGCAATACAAATACTTGTTACGTATTCATATTTTATACGTGGTAGAGCCAAGATGTAGCTACATTATGGTTGTAGCATGAATGGGTCGACTCGACCGGTGAAGGAGCACGCACTCACAGAATAGAATACCAGCGTAAAGTAGCAGCTTAATACTGCTGTGTTTCGTATGGTGAGTGTAGATATCCGGAGAAACTTTTTTGCTGGAAAAGAGTCATTCCATATTAGTCCTCAACACATATGCACTTTGATTCAATGTAGATGTTTATGGGCCACAGCATCCACTTACCATCAGGTGGACTGTGTGCTCGTTTGTCACCTTTATTTTATAAAAAAAAGAGTAATGTTGTCATCCGGTTAATATGGTCATTTTCTTATAAGTCAAACTATAGCCTTGTTTGCATAGATGGGTCTGTGATACGATAGCTCTTCATCAGTCAACCGAATAATAAAGGGTCAAAAAGGTGATGCTATACTCGTATTGCTATACCGACGCCATGTTGACAGTTGGCATTATAGTAAATATTTTAGTCGATTTTAGTATTATGTAATGTAGTTAGGTTTTTTAAGTTGATTTTTCGAAGTGTACCTAATTACTGCCAGAGCTTGTTTGCTATTATTTCTTAATATGTTAGTTATACCTTTACGTTTTTTTGCGTTACGTGTACACGTTTATACGTGTTACGTTTTTGACTCTATCCTCCTTCTAGTCTTGATTTTATGAGGCGGCAAAGTTTAACGTGACCATATTACCTTCACGTACCTTATGTACACCTTATGTAATCATATAAGCAAACTAGTGAAAGTTATAAGTGAATACTTATGAAGTAAAACAATTAATTATATAATCCTGATTTGACGTCATCAAGTGACAAAACATCATAAGTACTGCTACCACATTATTTTTATTACGCAGAACAAATGGATTAGTTCTATCGGTGAAAGGCCACACTTTCACAAAATACCAGCATAAAATAAGAGTTTACTGTCGCTATTTAATGATGAGTATGAAAGTAGAACCGAAGACTTATCGCTGGTAACAAGGCATCGTTAGTCCTCGGGGTGGACAACGCAGCTAGGTTTTGATTCTTAATAATGATTAGATGTATGGGCCAGAGCATCCACTAACCTTCAGGTGGACTGTGTGCTCGTTTGTCACCCATAAAATGCATAACGAAAAGGATACTAGATAGAAAAGGAAACGATAATATTTTGACATTGTCTTATACCATGTAGTGGCGGTGTAATTTAAACTACCCCACCTCGTTCTGCGCGTGTCGTAAGAGGCGATAGAGGGAAACCAATCGGGAGATGGGCAGCGGCGTCTTCCTGATAACGACTAAAAATTAAAAAAAAATACTGGTGTTGCCAACCCGCTTGCCAAGCGTGGCAACTGTGGCAAATTTCCCCCCTATGAGGCAATTTAAGGAGAGTCCTATGTTCAGAAGTGGCCCATCATCATTACAGGCTGTAAATCTATTACAACCTAAGATGGGCTACTGTTGAAAAGGCCTTATATGGGCATGTTCTTTTACGACTGATTATATGTTTTTAAGCAAGCCATTAAACGTGTTCAAATTACGACGTGACGAAGTGACACGACTCCGTGGCGCAGTGGCTTAGCAATGAGTGGCTGCGCTGGGAGTCGCGGGTTTGTATCCCGCACGGAACAAATATTTGTATGGCGAACAAATAGTTGTTCCGGGTCTGGATGTTGGTCCTTGTGCAGTTTATGTTTGTAAGCTGCCCTTACGATACAAGAGAAAATCTTAGTGTAGGGGTAACGTTAAAAAAATAAAAAAAATTATTAAACTTAGTATATATCGAAAAATTTGTTTAATTTAATCCCAAGAACGCTTAGAAGCTTAAGGTTTTAATATCATATGCGAGAACGTAGAGGTCATTTGTAAGTGTCGCATGTAGGTACACGGAAATATGGTAATGTTGCTAGGTTAAACTTAACAGGAAGTTATAGTTAGTGTTAGTAAAGGTTGATTTTTAAAAAAATATTAGAGTGAAAAATGAGAATGTGTTTGAGCGAATAATTCAAAGGGTCTTTTTTATAGAAGAGGGGGCAAACGAGCATGCGGCTCACCCGATGTTAAGTGACTACCGCCGCCCATGATCAACCGCAACACCAGGGGAATTGCAGGTGCGTTGCCTTTAGTCATTTACCCATAATATTGGGGGGTATTTAAATAGTTTTCTCATCTGCTTGGGCTGAATAAATATATAAAATAAAACGATAAACATACATAAATACATTAATTATAGTTACATAAATAAATAAAAACCCAACCAAATGGAAGCCAGAGGGGAGAGAGAACAAACGGCCGAGGGTTCCTCCTAGAAAGGGAAAGAAACCGGCGGACTATGTCGGCGGTATCAAGGCTGCCTTCAGCATCTGAGCTGAGAGCGATCCGTCACGGGGTCCCAGCCGCCTCGGATGATCCGGAAGGCTGACTGGGATTAGCCCGTTCGCAAGACGGCGTCAGGAATATTTTCGGTCGGCAGACCATCCCACATATCCCACATGTGGGTTACTTCGTAAGCCAGGTCCAGATATTGGGTTTTCTTATCTGTTTGCTTTTAAAAGGTTCTCGTCATACGGAATGTTAATGTCAACTAAAACTATCCTTGACTGTGCCCGGTCCATCAGACCAATATCAGACTTGTTCGCAAGAATAGTCCTATCTGTGACGATAGCCCGGTCCCAGTAGAGCCTGGCGCCGTCATTTTCGAGCACGGCTACCGGCAAGTATTTGTAGTGTGCAATGCAAAGCAATTTTCGGTCCACGAGACCGTTATTTCAGAGAGAGCTCTTGATGAAGAACTCCGGCTACTAGGTTGTGCTTGTTCAAGTACTCAAGAGTTAGAAAGCGCTGAACAACCAGAGTAGATATGCCTAAGTGCCTCACCGGGATGGCGACAAGCCGTGCGTACAAGATGTCGGCGGTGCGTTCCCATAGGATCTATCTCCGATAGTTGCTGGTATTAATAACCTGATCCTGTATTGCACAGACAAAACCCTCGGTTTCTCCAAATAGGTCTCCAAAACGTAGCAACTGGAGGCAGGCAACTCAAAGGACTCATGTAGAGCCTTATAGAACCTCCCATGAAGCTCGTTATCCTTCCATACGGTCTACCGCTCGGAAATGCTCTGTACTGCCGGATCTTGCCATTGCTTGTTGACTAAGGATAGAGGGGTAAGCCCACATATACACATATATCACAAGAAATAACATCCTTATGGAATGAATCATCCGATCTCATCAGAAAATTATTACGGAGGCTGTAAACTCGCTATTATGCTTGGTGGGCGCGCTTAAAAAGCCACGTCCACCATGATTCGCGACAAGTACAGCCTCATTACCGACGATCTTGAATTGTGCATCCTATGGGACGTCATGGTAGTGCGAACTTTTCCATCTAGGGCGTTAAGTTCAGTTTGAGTCCACCTGAGCATGTCAAAGATATATATGACACAACAGCTATACGCGTGTGTCTTATTCACGCCCGAGAAAAGGCTGTAAAGCACTTTGGTTAAGCGTGCATAAAACATATAGTAAATTAATGGTTTCACAATATCTATATTTTGTTACATACCCAGGTATCTGTATGTTGCAGCCTCGGAAAGGGCATAGATAAGTAAGTATGCCCTCAGAGTTAACTACCTTACCTCTCTCAACATGGAGGACCGCACACTCATCCGTCCCCAGCTCCATTCTAAAAGAATTGCTAAAATCGCGATGTTCTGCAATTCCACAAGATAGGAGCGAATGGAGGCGAATAATTTGAGATCATCCATATAGAAAAGGTTTGTCATACTTGCACCTCCTTCACGAAGCTAAAATCACCTCCCGGAGCGCTCCGGTAAGGTACTGAGAGGGTTCAGAGTGAAGCAGAACCAGATTGGACTCAAACAATCGCCCTGAAAAATAACTTTCCTATCCTTATGTGGTCCTCCGCAGACGTCATCCGCTCGTCTAGATAACAAAGGATCGTACTCCACTGCCCCATATACTGACAGAGAAAGTATCTCATGGCACAGTCAACCTAGTAGAGCTAGAGGACCCTCTTTAGCCATGTATGACTCACTGAGTCTGAGTTAAATGTCTCTCTGTATGGTCTATCCAGGCGACGGAGAAGTTACAACGGTTACGTTTAACCACCTTATCAATTATCACGTCCATGAGGAGTGGTTATTATTTTGTATACGTACAGTATGAGATCATTGTCCTTTTTGAATGTGGTTTCTAACGTCCAAATATTAGTTAAACGAATTTTTTTTCCTATCCCGCTTACACAACAATCGGTCGTGGACATTTAGCTGTTTCCTTGTCTGAGCTATGTCTGATTATTAAGCAGGGGGAGTTGTCCATTGACCATTCCCACTATTCTTTGGTAAATCGTTTCACGAGATTTGGAACGCTATTCCTTCTCAGTCTTGTGTACACGGTACTTCCAGAACCCATTAATTTAGCAGCCAGAGCGTTAACATGTGAAGTTAATTTTTGTTGGTATTTTAAGCTTCGAGCAGCGATTTCTTGTTTCACAGTGTTGAGCCTCAAGTCGTGCGGAATATATTTATTGTGAATGTATTTTGGAATGTTGAACATAGATCTAATAGCTTTAGTCTGAAATCTTTCCAGGATTTCTATGTTGCTATTACTTGCTGTTCCCCAAGGTTCTATGCCGTATGTCCATACTGGCTTCAAAATAGTTTTGTAAACTGCTATTTTGCTTTTGTTTGTTAGCTGAGACTTTTTGCCAATCAGCCAATACATAGATCTTAATTTTGCGTCCAGGGCTTTTATTTTGCTCCAGATATGTTTCTGCCAGGTCAACCTCCTATCCAGATGCATACCTAGGGTATTTCGCGGCACTATCGTGTGGGATTTGTTCTCCGTTCAGTGTGATTGGTGGTCAGTCGCCTTTTTTTAGAATGAGGGTGACGTGAACTGATTTGCTTTGATTAGCCTTTATTCTCCATATTTTCAGCCATTTTTATATCTCATCAATATGTTTTTGGAGATGTGCTGATGCGATTGTTGGGTTGGCATTAACTGACATTATTGCAGTATCATCAGCGTATGTGGCAATAAAGGTTTTATCATCAACAGAGATGTCAGCAGTGAATATAAGATACAGTATAGGCCCTAATATGCTCCCCTGAGGTACCCCTGATCTGATTTCAAACAGATCAGACGTGGTGTTGTTCAGTTTAACTTCATAGCATCTTTTGTTTAAGTAGCTTTTCAGTAAAAAGTAGAAGGAATGCGGCAGCTGTTTTTTGATCTTGAATAAGAGGCCATCGTGCCAGACTCTATCAAATGCCTGACTTATATCCAGAAACACAGCCGAGCAATATTTCTTATTTTCAAGCGTATAACCGATGGTATCTGTCAATCTGTGAACCTGCTCAATGGTTCCATGCCTTTGTCGAAATCCAAATTGGTGCCCAGGAAGAATAGCATTCAGATGAGATTGCATTCTATTGAGGATAACTTTTTCGAAAAATTTCCCCACCAGTGGAGGGAGACTTATTGGTCTGTAGGATGAGACTTCTTCCAACTGCTTTCCAGGTTTGAGGATCATTACTACTTGAGCAATTTTCCACTGTCCCGGGTAGTGAGAGAGTCTTATAGATGAATTGAAGAGTGTAACAAGATATATTATGCCACTCCTCGGAAGATTGCTTAACAGCACGGAGTCCAATAGGTCGTACCCCGGAACTTTATTGGGTGAAAGACATTTTACCTCCCGGCTTATTTCTTTAGGACTTACTGCTTTTAATGGGGGACATACTTGATTTGGAGACTGTAGATAATTCGCTATGTCATCGTCATTATCGGGGTCGGAACAAGGTAGTGGTGTACATACTTTTTCTAGGTGTACTGCGAATGCTGTTGTTTTTTCTACATCAGTCCTAGCCCAGCTTCTATCGAGTTTTCTCAGAGGCGGGATGTGGTCTTTTGGTTGCTTAAGGTTCTTGGTTGCGCGCCACAGTGAATGATTAGTATCCTTTTGTGATGTGAGTTGACATAGGTGACTTTGTACACAACGATTTTCATGCTCTTTAATCATGTCTTTTAGTTCCTTCGTTGCCCTGTTTAGCTGAGATTTATCGGAAGGATATCTAGTTTTATGCCATTCTCCTCTTAATTTGCGTCTTTCAATGTCCTTTGCGATTATGTTTCTGGAGTATTCCTTTTGTTTTGTTTTTGATTTCCTATTTTTAGGAGTGGAAACGGTGGCAGCCATGTGTACAATGCTGTTGAATTTTTCAACGCCGGCTTCGATTTCATTGTTTGTCTTTAGACTTATGTTTAGGTCAATGTTACTACGTATAAATTCTCTGTACTGGTCCCAGTTGGTATGTTTATTGTAGATATTGGGGAGTGGCTTAGGGAACATGGCCTGTTTATAAATATTTAAAATGACTGGAGTATGGTCTGATGACATATCTTCACATTTTTCAATCTGTAAATAGTTTTGCCCAAGATCCTTTGAAATATAGAAGTCTAGCAAATCTGGTACTTTGTTATAGTCCGTTGGCCAGTACGTTGGTTCTCCGTGGGAGATACATTCGAGATTGAGATCTAGAGTGGCTTTATATAGCTGTCTGCCCCTAGGCTTGATCAGTCTCGATCCCCAGTAAGTGTGCTTGGAGTTTCAGTCTCCTCCGCAGATAAATACTGGGCCCAATTTGTTGAAAAACAGCTTGAACTCTCAGTGTTTTTGTGGTGTATTTTAATTGATGTTGCCTGAATTTTTTCTGTTTTGTATACTTCGAGAAGGTAATGCTTTATGTTATTTTTCAATATCACTGCAGTGCCGCCATGAGAATTTCCAGAAGGATGGTCTGTTCTATAGATCGTATACTTATGGAACTTTATATGTGATCTGGGTGTAAGTCTTGTTTCAGATATCAGGGCAACATCAATATTCTCAGTGTTTATGAATAACTCAAGTTCTTTCCGTCTGTCGGTCAGCCCATTGGCATTCCAGGTGATAATACGAATATTTAGTCCCTCTGTGCGGTAAGTCGTGTAATTAGTTTGATCATCTGATCAATCATGCTGTCCATCATGTCTTTCATGATTTTTTGGAATCTTTCAAACATTGTGTCCAATAAGCTTGTTATATTCTGTTGGCTCGCGTCCAAAATAGGAACGCGTGACTGAGTAAAAGAATTGTCACGCTTGTTCTTCAGTACACTGGCATAGCTGAAGCCTGTATGGTGCGTTGATTTGTCATTCTCGTTGATGCTCTGTTTTGGGTGTGTAGTAACGTGTGATTGTTTGGGTTGTTGGGCAGGTTTGAGGCTTAGAATTTTTTCCTTGTATATTTAATGTTTACTGCTTATATTTAATGCAACCTTTGTAGCTCGCCGGGTGTTTGCCTTGACAATTAGCGCACACTGCTTCTGACTCAGGAGTTTTGGTACATGCGCTTGTTGGGTGATCATTTCCGCATTTGACACATCGAAAAGGTCTAAAGCATTGATTTTTACAGTGCCCAAATCTTTGACATCTCTTACATTGCAATACTTCTTTTTTCTTGTAAGGTGCTTCGATTGTAACTTTGACATGGTTGATGTATTTTATACTGAAAATATCCTTATTGTTGGCTTGTGGCTCTAAATCTACAAAGTAGAGGGGTAGTTTTTCTTTTGTTGTTCTATGCAATACGTTGACTATTTGACGTACGGCATGCCCTTTGGCTTGCAGCTCTTCTTTAATCATGTCAATATTTTCTGACGCATGTAAGCCTCTTATCACTACTCTGTACGTCTTTTCACTCTTAAGTTTGTAAGTGTAGTGGTTGATGTTATTTTTAATTAGATTGTCTCTTATTGTTTTATAGGTTTCGATGTCAACAGGCATTAGCTTAATGATATGTCCTGATCTTAGCGTAGTCATCGTAAACTTATCTATAGCCACAACTTTGATTATAAGTTCCCTTAAGGGTGTTATGTTGACAATACCAGTCACAAAAATTGGTTCTGGTTTTGGTATATATTCTTTAGTTTTAGGTGCGATTTCAGGATCTTCGTTGCTGAGGATGTCGAAGTGGTTTCGAACAGGAACTTTATAATTGACTTGTCCTGTGTACTTCTGTTTACTTACACTTTTCGGTGGGCTGTCGGATCTTTTACGTTTTTTATTTGGTACTTTGTCTCGCTGCCATTCTTTGATTGGTTGTTCATCCTTTTGTTGTTGGAAGATGTCCGTCTGACCTGGCGGACTCCAAAAATCTGCATCTTCAGATTGCGCACATCGCTTGGGCGGTCACTAAAAGAAAAGGATCTCGGTCTTGCTTGGAAGAATTCTTTATGGAGAATTTGTTGTGTATAGGTTTTTTGGGATTTGTTTTCATTGTTCTGCATTTTGATTCCCACGAGTATGGACGATAAAAGGGTCACTCTCAGGGTGACGCCATTCCTGAGAGAAGGCTATGTACAATGGTGTTCGCCTGGTTCACCAAGGTTGGCGCTAGTGACTGGGACCCCCAGCCATACATCCTTTTGGCGCGTCTCCCACCGTAGGATTGGGGTGAATTTTTATTGAGGCTTTCTACCTCTCGGCACGGGCAGTAAAGCCAATGCCCCCGATTCTGTGCATTACCACAGTGTGGCGGGTGATGGTAATCATTTCCTATCACCATCGGTTTAGTCTTACTCGGGTTAGTTAACCGCCGCCCGATACTCGGCGTTGACCTCTTACGACTGGTTTGGTCTCTCCTCAGTCTGCCCTCCTCCTTTCGCATACAGGCTAGGGACCGTCAATGGCGGAGTTAGTTAAACGAATTGTCAGTATATGCTTATTAGGTATAAAACTCAAATAAACTGGACTAATACCCGATATTTCTTAGATAAAAACAACTTAAGCCGCGGATAGAGCAGCAAGAGAACAGTGACAAAAAAGAATACTGTGGGCGGAAACGATTTGGATGCCTTGTCTTTCACAGCACAAGGTGAAATTACTGGCAATGCTAAAGCTTCATTGTTGCAACAGTTCAGCTCATAGCAGGTTCGCATAAAGGCCTCGTACGTGTTTTTCTTCGAGATAAATGACGTGAAGCACTTGTAGTCCACGCTGTGACATGTAATTGTATGAAGTCTATATTCCGTAGGATCCAAACCAGCTTTTAACGGTGTACCAGGTTTCTTGACGGCTTATTTCGCTTATATTCGCTTATATCCTGGTTGCGCACTTCTCGTAAGGGAGGATTTTATAAAACATTTTTTCGCTGTTTTCGCATAATCTCGTGTTGTCGTCTACATGCCATGCCGTAGGTATGCCATGCAGGTATCGGGCCTCGGGGTATACCCCCCTTACCCGGATCTTCCTCATGGCCCATGACTATGGGCCAGTCCTTGGAGCCTATTTTTAGGCATAGTTAGTTGCTGCGGGTTAATCCGCAGTCAGGAAAAGTTTTTCCCGTAGTCGGTTAACTACGGAAAAAGGAGGTTGTCCAGTAAAAAGTCAAAGTTGGCCTATCAGTGGCATTGTGGGTTGTTACTCGACTCTAATCGATATAGAGAAGAGTTCTCTTGGAAGAGGTTTCCCGTCCGGGGGCCGAGTGTGCAACGGCGCGTAGCTGTTGAGGTGTTCGTGTGGCCCGTTATCGGCGCGGTCAAACATGCCGCGCGCCAGCCGGGCCACGAAGTCTGTGATAGTCTCGACTTTCAGATCGGCCGCTATGACGACATTCCGGACGTAGCGACCTGCCCCGACGATCGTCCTTAATGACAGATCTGCTGAGCCTGCAGTCGCCGCCTCAGAGGGTCGCTCGGAAGCGCGTACAGTTCCGGAGCAGCATAGGTGATGATAGTCCGGATATACATCTTGTATATCCGAGCTTGGTTCTCGTTAGCAGCTTGGATGCCAGGATTGGACAGAGCATCGCCCGCGCACATCTGGCTCTGCGGACGACGAAGTCGACGTGCGTGGTCATGCGCAGCGTCCTGTCGATCCGGCACCCAAGGTAGGTCACGCGATCTTCTGGCCATTGAGGATCAGCGGAGGTGGTAAGTTTCTGAGACGACGAGTGAGCAGAGCGGTCGTCTTACCAACGTTGACGACCATCCTCCACTCATTCAGCCATGGTGGCAACAGGTCCAGCAGACGCTGCATTCTGGCAGTGGCTATATGGGCTCTTCTGGACGAGGTGAAATAGGCGCTATCGTCCGCATATAGCGCCAGTGTGACTGTGGAATGACCGCTCCTGAATCCGTGCTGCTTCGCCCGAAGTTGGATGCACGTTGGATGAACGCCGTTGAAGACGGAGACGTCTCAGCAGCAATCTTTCAAGCAGTTTAGCTATGTGCGGTAATAGCGTGATCGGCCTGTAGCTGGCAGCTCTACGCCTGTCCTTCCCGGATTTCCGCAAGACGATAACTTTGCCTTTCTTCCAGTCCTCCGGGAAGTGGGATGTCTGCAATATCCCAGTGTAGAGTCGCCGTGTAGTGGCGGCTCAGAATGGCCACTACCCCATATCTTCTCGTGGGTGTCATAAGAGGCGACAGGGAGGGAGACAGGCAAGAGATGAGCAGCAGCATCTTTCTGATAACAACTGCGTTATAATAAAAAACTGCGGTTGCCAACCCGCTCGCCAAGCGTGGCAACTATGGCAAATATGCCCCCATGAATAACGACGCAAAAAAACGGCCCCCAGTCCCCGGCGGCCCCGCTATTCCTGGCTACGGTGGCGACCATGGTAACGGCGGGGCAAGGGGGTGCTAAGAATCTCCGGTGGAGGTTCGGTTGCCACCTACGACGACTCGACCTGGCAACATATAACGCACGCACTCTGAGGACTGAAGAGAAGATACTGGAGCTGGAAGAAGAGGTAGACAAGTTGCGCTGGCATATTATTGGATTATCCGAGGTCCGAAGAGAGGGGGAGGATACGGCAATCCTCGAGTCCGGCAACTTGTTCTACCACCGGGAGGGCGACCACCTGTCCCAAGGAGGTGTCGGATTTATCGTCCACAAGTCTCTCGTCAACAACGTTGTAAAGATTGGGAGTGTGTCGACGAGGGTCGCGTACCTGATACTCAGAATCACCAAACGGTATTCACTGAAGGTCATACAGGTTTACGCACCAACCTCGGCACATCCCGATGAGGAGGTGGAGGAAATGTATGAGGATATTTCCAAAGCCATGCATTCCTCCAAAACCCACTACACGGTGTTGATGGGAGACTTCAACGCAAAACTAGGCACAAGAGAAAGCGGTGAGCTGAAGGTGGGGAAATTTGGAGTAGGGCAACGGAACCGAAGGGGCCAGCAGCTGGCCGACTTTATGGAGAAAGAGGGACTCTTTATGATGAACTCTTTCTTCCAGAAGCAGGCCCCACAGGAAGTGGACCTGGTCGAGCCCCGACGGTTCGACAAAAAATGAGATTGATTTCATTACGACTACCAGACGCCAACTGTTCAGTGATGTCTCAGTGATCGCAAGGGTGAAAACTGGCAGCGATCACCGAATGGTTAGAGGCACACTGAACCCAAATGTTAAGTTGGAGAGGTCTCGTCTAATGAAGTCAACGCTCCGTCCCCCCTCGTGCTCTAATCCAGAATCCCGAAACTTTTCAGCTCGAGTTACAAAACCGCTTTCAGTGCCTAGAGGATTGCAATGCAGTGGACGATATGAATGACAAGCTCGTGGAAACTGTCCATGCGGTCGGAGCTAACTTCTGTAAGACCCGCCGCAGAAGAACACAAAAACTCTCCGATCACACTCTTAATCTCATGGCTGTTAGAAGGGAGATGAGGCTGCAATCGTCAACAGATTTGACAGCATACAGGCAACTGAACAGACAGATCTCCAAATGCATGCGGCGAGACTTACGCAACTTCAATACTGCTCGTATTAAAGAAGCGATCGAGCGGAACCAGGACTCCAAAGTCTTTGCCAGAGATCTGTCTGCCAGAAAGAGCCAACTGTCAAGGCTGAAGACTGAGTGTGGCAACATCGTTTCCGGGACACCTGAGATTCTGAGTGAGATTGAGAGGTTCTATGGGCAGCTGTACACATCATCGTTGGAGCCACACGCAAGTGTGAGTAACGATCCAAGAGCAAGTCCTTATCCGACACTATTCCGATGATATCCCGGACGTCAGTCATCTTAAAAACGGCAAGGCCCCGGGCGAGGATGGAATTACAGCGGAGCTTCTGAAAGCGGGTGGAACACCGGTACTTGAAGTCCTTCAGAAGCTCTTCAATTCCGTCCTCCATGCTGGCACTACTCCAGAGGCGTGGAGCAGAAGCGCGGTGGTCTTGTTCTTTAAGAAAGGCGACAACGCTCTCTTGAAGAACTACAGACCGATTTCCCTTCTGAGCCGCGTCTACGTGCTGTTTTCGAGAGTCATTACGAATCGTCTCGCACGCAGACTTGGCGACTTCCAGCCTCCCGAACAAGCCGGTTTCCGAAAAGGCTTCAGTACCATAGACCTCATACATACCCTTCGGCAAATTGTACAGAAGTCCGAAGAGTACAATCTGCCACTTTGCCTGGCGCATGTGGAATATGAGAAAGCCTTTGATTCCGTCGAAATCGGGCGGTGCTACAGTCTCTTCAGCGGTGCCTAGTTGACTGTCGGTATATTGAAGTGCTGAAGTGTTTGTACAGTAGGGCTACGATGGCTATCCGAGTACAGAACCAGAGTACGAAACCTATCCAACTGCAGAGAGGTGTACGACAGGGTGATGTTATATCCCCGAAACTCTTCACCGCTGCGTTGGAAGACGTTTTCAAGCTACTGGACTGGAAAGGATACGGTATTAACATCAATGGCGAGTACATCACTCACCTTCGATTTGCCGACGATATAGTCCTTATGGCAGAATCGCTGGAGGACCTTAGCACTATGCTCAATGACCTCAATGGTGTCTCCCAACGGATAGGTCTTAA